GTGCACTGCTGACCTCTTTTCAATAGGGGCCAGATTAGTGTGCAGCGGTGCTGTGTGGCTCATCGCTGCGGTGGTGGAGCGCTTTTGTCCCCGATGGTAATCCGCTCACTCTTAATACCCCAAACCCTGGTATATGGTTTCAAAACAAGGCTGGATTATCACCACTTTTGAGAGTGAAAAATGTCGGTAATGCCCAGCAGCCTGGTCTTTTGTTTGGAGTACAGTCTTTTGTTAGAGGGCCCTGTTTCCTTTGTCCGAGTTCGGAGACCCCGGCCACCCATATAAACCTTCGATCACGGAGTCCCCAGCAGGAAGTGGCTAAAACAGCTGTCACAACTATCACAATTGGTGCAATCTTGGCACTCTATACAATGGGCGCAGTCCTCACAATCTCCACAAACACACAACATGGCAGTTCTCACAATATTCACAAGTTTTGCATTCGTTGCAAGATTTGCAATAGTTACATTCTCTACAATCGTTACATTGATCGATATGATGAGAGTTTAAACAAGCTTTAGAATTTCAGGCGTCTGCTTCGTTAACTGATTGAAATGCGTTTTTGCAAAAGAAACAATTGACGTTTGTTTCAGAGTTTTGTTTTTGGTCTGGCATCTCGATTTTGGTTTTAGTATGGGGAGATATTTTTCAATTTTTTAAAGTCACTTAAATGTGACGATATTTTTCAATTAGTAGATACTGATAGGTATCCGGGGAGGGGGAGGTGGATCTTGAACCCCTCCTACCTACTCCTTGCTGGGAGGGGTATCCAAATGGGGCACCTCTGCCTAAACAATAAGGTCCCATAGGTTGTGGGGATGCCTGTAGGCCACAAGTGGGGTGTCACAGGTGGCACTGGCTAGGTGGTCTGAAGTGTGGAGGAAATAATGATTGTCGTTGATTATTTTACGGAGGGGAGGAAGACGAGGATGGGAAGTGGTGACCCCTTTGGATACCCTTCCCCCTCCCAACAAGGCACGTTCAAGCATGATTCTAACAGATGTGTTGTTTGCCAGAACAATGCCTGGAATCAGATACATTCTCTGGACACTCCTCCAGTACCACCCACAGAACCAAATGCACTATCACTTGTAGCTCTTCTGATTCCCTGCAGGGTGTGCAGTGTTCAGTATGTTGGAGAGACTAAGAACACTCTCAAGAAGTGTTTTTATGGCCACAGATCTATGGTCAACACCAAACATCTAGATACCCCTGTAGGCCACCACTTCAAACTTCCTAACCATTCTTTGTCTGACATGATCTTACAGGGAACAGAATCACTTGGGTTCCATAAAGATGCTGGTTGCTTCAACAGGGAGAAGCTTTGGATCAAATGCCTCTACACCACACAACCCCATGGGCTGAACATCCAAGAGGGAAACTTATAATTAACACTCTTTTCTTTCCCCCTCTTTTGCTTGCAGATTATACCCCCTCCCATTTGGAGCCCAGATCCATTCTTTGTATTTCTTCTTTGTTGTTAAACCATGCCTTTCATGTAGTCCCCTTTATCCAGCCTGCAGCTTTCTTGACCTTTCCTGTTGTCCTCTTGCATTCATCCATGCTTGGTTGATTTTCTGTTTGCTTGTTTGTCCTGTCCACTTGTCATTTTGCTTTGGAGAAAGATGCTGCTAGTATCGAAACAACTTTACAATACTATCCGGTATCCTGAACGAGTTGCATCGGACCCATACATTTAATACAAGTGTGTAATTCCTGAATATGTGCATTTTAATTATTTCCTTGTTAAGACACATTGCTGACTATGATAGCTTATTTGATATGGCTGTGTACATGATAGTGTACATGCACTTTAAGTCATCATCAAACAGAAACAGCAGCAGGTATGAACAAATACATACAAAGGAAAGACTTACCGTCCCAATGCCTTCATAAGAGGAAGTTACTTGTCCAAAAAATATAGGGAAAGTTGAAAATCTGAACCAAGAGATGCTGTCATCAACACTGAAATCTGTGGGGAAAAAGTATTTTTTTAATACGCTGTTTTACTATCGAAGCTAAACATTGCGTAACATAACATGTTGATGACCATTTACTGAGCTTAAGAAAATACACAGGATAACAAATCGTAAGCGGCTCCTGAAAAATTTGACTCCGGGAACAACTGCTACCTGAAATATTACTCAGAAATGATTGGCTCCTAAGTACATGTACAGGTATATGGCCTAAGGACTGTACAAAGTCATACATGTAAAATGTACTGCTCACTGACTACGCAGTGTGTATCATAATCAAGGGAGACTTTCTCACAAAACAGACTTCACTCTTTGTCACAAGACTTGAAATCATGTTGTAACATACGTGTACGTGTACTGCATACCCATAGCTGCCAACTATTATGAATTTTTCGTAATTATTACTATTTTTTGTAAAATTACAAAAATATGAATTGCCAGTAAAAAATTACGAATTTCCTTTTCTCCGAGTCATTTTGGTAAATTTTCAGATAAAATCGTGTATGCTCAAAATAAAAATCGATACCAGTACCAAACATTTTAGTACATAGTGTATACGGTAAAAAGTTTGTATATTAAGTATCGATATTTTGCAATCGGGGGACCAACATGTACAAGGTGGTAATGGTAATAATCAGGAACCAGTGCAGCCTAGCCGTCAGGGTACCAGCATGTGCAATGTGGAAATTATCAGGAACCAGTTAAGAGAGAACTGTTTCAACATTGCGGCGCCTATCGCAGCACAAGTACGTAAATAAACATTCGATCGAAGCGGTACTTTTTTCGAAGTTTGCTTTGGATTTAGAGTGGAATTGTGTGTCATGGCTTCAAAAGCTGAAGGACAGTATTACACCAAGAAATACTAAGATGAATTCTCATTCATCACATTGTCGGGAAAATCCGAACAGCATGTTTACTGCAAGATTTGCTGTCGTGATTTATCAATCGCTCACGGAGGTCGTTCAGCATGTTCAGACATTGTTACACACACAAAGTCGGCACTACATCTCACAAATGCTAACAGGGAGTCCCAAACTTCGAAGTTAGCTTCATGGTTATCATCCTCAAGTGACTTAAACAATACAAAAGCTGAGTGTGTGTTCACATCATTTTATTTAAAGCACAATATTCCCTTGTCTGCAGCAAGTCACATATGGCCCTTGTAAAGGAAAGCCTTCCCAAATTCAGATGAAGTCAAAAAATTCTCAAGTGCGTGAACAAAAACCACATGTATTGTACATGAAATGGTGAGAGACAGTCAGAACAGTATGACCGAAGCAATGAAAACTGGCCCATTTGTCAGTATTGGCCCATCGTATAAGTTGAAAATACTTCATGTTGTACATGTTCCGGTATACTCCTTTGCTTTGTTCATGAACTACTAACAAGTTCTGACCAAGTGGCAAGGAATCGCCTCAGATTGCACCACAGAACATCTAGAACTCTAATTTTCCAGACCCCACGCTGTAAATGGTGTCGCGCTATGTGCTCGCTGCAGTTTGTGCGCTTTGATTACCATGATTACTAATTGAAATTCTGAAATGTTGGCAGCTATATATACCATGTACTGTGTAGTATATATACCATAACAGCATGCAGGAATGTTCAGTGCAACCTCGGCCCCAGTTTGCATGTGCGTCATTTTCAAGTTACCACTTGAATAATCTGCAAATTAACCCTTCTGTACACGTACAGTACATGTATATGCAACTTGCTACCACACTTGGACAGAGCAATCTTATTGGCTAATAATTATAACAGTATGAATGTTTATTTCTAGAGCAGTTGGACTGGTTTAGAATCAAAATAACATTTATATTCATATTGCATCTTTTAGCACGTAAGAAATACATGAAGCAAGCCTAGACACATGCACACATGTATACGTGTATATACACACAGTTACAGTGACACACTTCCTCTGTGACATTTTCTTCGTCATATTCACTGATTGAGTTTTCTTGCATATTAAAGTTACATGTACATGTACCATTGGCCCTCTCCATGAAAATGCACATGCAGTGTGCTTGCTGCACGTACGAATACCCACACAGCATCCCTTTGGTCAAGTCATAGAGGGATCCCAGTACGACGCTTTTAGCGTCGATCTGCGTATTTCCACATTTGAAAACGAGGCTGTGTGTGTTAGCTTCAATTCTTAATACGATCAGACGATTGAAAGTAAGGAGTTAAGACACAAAATACATAAAGGTATGTTAAATTTAGACTTCCCAGGCTTCAACTTTTTGTGGAAGAGTCTTTCAGGATGACTCAACACGTGAAATCAAAGAAAAATAACAGCAATTTACCGCGAACTACTGTACTGTGTCGACTCCGCGGGCGCGTGCAACGAAGTTCAACACAGAGAGCCTCGGTTTCGATGCGGATATGCGCAGACGGCGCTAATGTGAAATCCCTCTATTAGACATATCTGATCACAGAACTTTGAACTGTGGGCATGGTTTTAACATTAATGGTACATTGCTTGCTCATATTGGTGACGACGATCTAAAACTTGACTTTAAGTCTATGTTTTATTAAGGGAATAAATATGCACTTCACCGGTCTTTAACGTACCGGCTCAAGAGAATTTACACGACTTATGCAGGTAATTTGTTACCAATAATTACATATAATATATTTGTCCTTTTTGAGTTATTTTCCAAAAACATTTTCATGAAATAAATGTACTTCTGGGGACCCTTACAACTTTAGAATTTCCCTGTGGAGGCCTTAACTGCCTCTTCTCCTGGGTCTCCACAAGGCATCATACAAGTATATTTCTATATTTCACTTCAATGAACACAAATCCACAATATCAACATGGACCAGTGGAAAACAAGGGTATATCAAATGTAACTTGAACATTAAAGATAATCCTTAAAAAAAGACAAAACTGTGTCCCATGTTTTACTTTAAAATGTATTTTGATGCCTTTTGGGTTTTCTACAGATTCAAATTTCCACATTCACGAGAAAAATTGTGATGTCATTCTGGGCAGAAACCTCAATATTTCAATATAAAAGGTTGCCAGAATTTTGTTTTTTTACTTCCTTAAATTTTCTTTTCTTTGGTAATTTACTGTTGCTTACAATTTGTACAAACTCTCAAACTGAACAGTGTCTTTGCAGAATGACATCACTGCCAACAACACTTTCAGTTATTTACAAAAGCATAGAAAGAATTAACTATTTAAAAAATAAACTTCTCAATACGGTTAGCAAAAGAGGAATGATGAATAGTTTACATACATTTCAGAAGGGTTTAAAATTGCACAAAGGACATGCATTAATTCTTTGAACAATTCAAGCCTGAATTTCTTGGTAAGGTACCAAAATAGAAACTAAACACTAATTCTCAAAACATGAAATGGCTGTCAACCGTTCTTTTGTACAGGGCTGCC